GAGCAGCTTTTTTTTATACAATTATGCTATTACTTAAAAATAATACATAATATGTATATAGTAATGCTCTATATTCTGAGGCTGGAGTTGAAAAGGACGAAGAAAAAGAAGTTGAAGTTAAAAGAGAAGAAAAGAAAGAAACTAAAGAAGAAAAAAAAGAATAGTATGAGGAAAACATACCCGCGAGAATCGGAAAAATCGTAGGTGAAACTAAAGATGAAAACAACGACAATGAAGCTAACGAAGATGAAGAAGATAATGATGACGACGATGAGACGATCGTAGACGAAGAAGATGATGAAAAGAAAGAAGACGTAGAAGAACTTACCAAAAAAAGTAAAGACCTGGATTACGCCTGCGAATCGTGGATAAAGAAAGTTGAAGGATTTAGAAGTAGGGTCAGATGGAGTAGAGGAGCAAAAGAACCTACTGAAAATGAACCTGCCGAGGCCGAAGAAGATACGACGAATATCAGTGAATGTTACCGAAACGAAGGTGGAGTTAAAAAGAATAAAAATAAAGCCTTCATCTATCATCAAAGATCTGACGAATCAGGTGATGCAGATGCAACGTACCTGGTTGGAGATTGCTACGAAAATGGAGCCGGAGCCGAAAAAAACGAAGTATAGGAATGGCGTTGGAAACGTGCAGAAGACGGCGATTCGAAAGAACAATTCGATCCTGGTGGGTTTGACCGAAGCGGAATAATAGTGGAAAAGGATTTGGAAAAAGCTAATGAAAAGTGGAAGAAAAAAAGTTAGAGTATTTTTAAGCGAACCGGGGATGATTTTCGCTGGAGCAACTTCAGCGCAAAAAAAAGGCTACATCATGAACTGGTTACGCCTCACTATTACATTACCGCTCTTAGGGTTTACGATATCTTTGTCGTTGTCGGCATGGCTCAAATCTATCGAACGGCCATAGTCATCTATTATGATATTCAAGACTTAAGAGTTGCAGAAGTAAGGCAAATTATTGATAACAGCTCGTAGAACTCGCCTTTAAACGGGGGCGAAATGTGAGGTACGAAACCCGTGATCGGTACGAGCTGCGCCAAGCTCACGATGTTCACAGTTATGATGATCTAATGCCTA